AAATAGTAGTAATACCCAGCACTGGTAAAAGTTAGGAAATAATATTCACATACCTTGCTGATAATGTGAGTTTTGATAGTCATTTGGAAAGTAGTCTGGCTGTAACTATAGAATGTAAAACACATATATCCTTTGTCTAATCAGTCTCACTTCCAGAAATCTTTTCCATAAAAATACAAACAGTGGTTCACAAAAGTCTGTATGAAGATGTTAGGTTCAATAACATCTGTAGGACAGAAATGAGAAACAAACTTGAATGTCAACAAATAAGGTGGGGCTGGCACTGTGGCATAGGGGGTAAGGCTGCTGCCTGCAGTGCCGGCATCCCATATGGGTGCCGGTTCGAGTCCCGGCTGCTCCACTTCTGATCCAGTTCTCTGCTATGGCTTAGGAAAGTAGTAGAAGATGGCCCAAGTCCTTGGGCCCCTGTATTCATGTGGGAGACCTGGAAAAAGCTCTTGGCTCCTGCCTTCGGATTGGCACAGCACAGGCCATTGCAGCCAACTGGGGAGTGAACCAGTGGATGGAAGACCTTTCTACCTCTCCTTTTCTCTCTGTGTAACTCTGACTTTCAAATAAATAAAAAAATCTAAAAAAAAAAAAAAAAAATAAGGTAACAGTTGAATGGATTATATAGCAGAGTCATACTATATTTTACCCCTACACCCATGTGGGAGACCTGGAAGAAACTTCTGGCTTTGGCCTAGCCCAACCCTGGCTGTGCAGGCCATTTGGAGAGTGAACTAGTGGGTAGAAGATCTCTCTCTCTCTCTCTCTCTCTTTCTTCCTCTCTCTCTCTTTCTGTAACTCTGTCTTTCAAATAAATAAGTAAATCTTTTTTAAAAAAAATCATTTGGCAGCATATTAATGTATTTATTGGAGCAGAACTGCACACTTAAAAAGTTAAAACAACAAATGTAATGGTATATCTATTTTACCACAATTTTTTAAAAAAGGAGGAACAAAGCCGGCGCCGTGGCTCAATAGGCTAATCCTCCACCTTGCGGCGCCGGCACACCGGGTTCTAGTCCCGGTTGGGGCGCCGGATTCTGTCCCGGTTGCCCCTCTTCCAGGCCAGCTCTCTGCTATGGCCAGGGAGTGCAGTGGAGGATGGCCCAGGTGCTTGGGCCCTGCACCCCATGGGAGACCAGGAAAAGCACCTGGCTCCTGGCTCCTGCCAGGATCAGCGCGGTGCGCCGGCTGCAGCGGCGGCCATTGGAGGGTGAACCAGCGGCAAAGGAAGACCTTTCTCTCTCTGTCTCTCTCTCTCACTGTCCACTCTGCCTGTCTAAAAAAAAAAAAAAAAAAAAAAAAAAAAAAGGAGGAACAAAAAGAATGATTTATGCCTCTATATCCTGGAGAGGTGGTCATGAAAATTGCTAAGAGAAAACTGTAGGGCCAGTGCTTTGGCACAGTGAGTTAAGTCACCACCTGCAGCCCTGGCATCCCATATGGGTGCCAGTTCAAGTCCCGGCTGCTCCACTTCTGATCCAGCTCCCTGCGAATGCACCTGGGAAGGCAGCAGCAGATGGCCCAACCGTTGGGCCCTGGTCACGCATGTGGGAGATCCAGATGAAGCTCCTGGCTCCTGGCTTTGGTCTGGCCCAGCCCTTGCCATTGGGCCATTTGGGGAGTGAACCAACAGATGGAAAATCTCTCTTTCTGTCCCTCCTTCTCTAACTCTGTCTTTCAAATAAACAAATAAGTCTTGTTTAAAAAAAGAGAGAAATCCATGTTTCTCTGAATGATAAACCTCAAATATGCACAAATATGTGCGCACACATGTGTGTAGATGTGTATGTTCACAGCAAAAGATATGGAAAGTGCGGACCAAAATGTTATGATTAATTACCTCATGGAGTGTGAAATATTTATCTATAAAAAGGGGAATGAATTTAGGACAGAGACCCAGGCTGATTTGATACATGACCTACATGCTAGTTTCTTCACCCATAAAAAAGGAGAAATAAATGGTAACTGCCTCACTGGAGTTGTTGTGAGTAGATACTGTAACTGCCTATCACAACTGTAGCTATTGTTATCAGTGGCCCAGGGTCCTCTTCGCTCTCTCTTGTGCATTTGTCCATCCCATACGTCTTCATAAGGACTGTAAAAACATTTAAATATCCAGGGGGAAAAACAGAAATAAAAGCAAAAGACAAAAAAAAAACTACAAATGAGGAGAGATTCACGTCGTATTTGTTTCTGAGTGTTTGCTGTCTGGGTTACAAATACTAGTTATGCAATTCCAATTTTGCCTCTTTAGCAGGACTAATGTGAAATGTATGTTCTCTGGGCTGAGAAATATGGAGCTCCTAAGCAGTGGTTAGATTTTTTCCAATGTGCTTTACAGCCTTTCGCGTTCAATAAATCTCATTAATGGTAAATATGAAATAAACCAATAGCTACTCCTGGCTTATTTTACCCTTAGGGCACTAGTCAATGAAATCAGAAATCTCATTCCTCCCAGAACAGGATGGCCATGTGCTTCTCTGTTAGTAAAGACGTCGCAATGTTATTCGTCACAGCGCTTCTGACTAAAACTAAGCAGGGCCTTTTTCCACGGGTGTCCCCTGATCACGAGGGTCTCATTCCCTGCTTCCTTCTGCCATTCTTTGTGTTCATTCACCTTCTGCCCTTCCTCTCTTCTCTCCCCTGCAACAAACGTTCGCAAGCAGCTTATGTGTGCCAGGCGTTTAGCAGCAAAGCTTGAGGAACACAGACCAGCTTCTCATCATGGAGTCTATAATTCTAACTGGGAGCTGGGGACATTCATCAGATACGCAGCACATCTGTCACTTCCAACTGCGCTTAGTAACATGAAGGCAAACACAGGATACTGTGAGAAATGTGTGTAGGTGAGGGCTTTAGCCAGGAAGCGGCAGGTGAGCGGGGACGGAGAGGGCCGAGGCGAGTTAGTCAGCCAGGCACCTTCCCTCAGGTAGAGCTTGGACAGGGCTGAGAGCAGGCCTGTCTGTGTCTGTATGTGGGGCTGCTCACAGTGTTTGGGAGACGGGAAGGGCAAAATGAGTGACCATGCTTGTTTTGCACTAATCAATACATCTGACTGTTACTAACCAAAAGAAATCCCAAGTAGGAGACAGAAAGAGGGGAGCATGATGCAAGAGGAGGTTGACAAAGACAGCCAGATCACACTCAGCCCTTTCAGGGCAAGTAGGGATGGTGATCTTCATCCTGACAGCACATGGAGAGCCCCTGAAGTTACTTACCGGCATTATAGCTGATATTTTTCTGCTAACGTTTAAAGCAAAAATATGCTAGTCTTTTTCGAATGTTGACTGCGCAGTGCTAATTTATTTGCACAATTTTATCTATTCCTTCAAACAGTCCTATGATGATAGTATTACTATCCCAAGTTTACAGACTGAGGGCACTGAGGTATACAGAAGTTCGATTGCTTAAGACTGTTAATAAGTGGCAAGGGCATGGCTCCCAACCCCCACTCAGCCACTTTACTGCCTTTACTGGGAGCGAGAAAGAACAGTAGGCAAGCAAGTAGATACAGCAGATTCTAATCTCCTTGGCAGGAACGGCCCCACTGCGGAGTTGGTAGCATAGGGGTATCGGGGTCTAATGAGCTAATCACTGAATTTAGCTAATCCCCTTGTTCTCTCTGTTAATAAAATCCTTTTAATTATGTTCTGGCTTCCCATATGGATTTTTCTGCTGGGAGATAATGCACTGACCAGCCTACACACGCATTTTGTTGCAGTTGACAATTTTATTACTCATTGTGAGTTAATAAATTGGCATCCTGCTTTTAAAAGCGATGAATTAACATTAAAACAAACAAAAAAACTATGAAACTCTGACACAGTCATTTTTCCACGGTGAGCTTGAAAAGTAAAAGCCAACAAATGAAGATAACAAGGCTTTTGTCTCTTCTTGCTTTTCTTGCTGCCTGCTGCGAGTGACCACGGATGAGCCCGTTATTAATCTTCTTTGTCCCAGCCCAAGAGCCTCCTTTGTTTCCCAGGGATCCTTTGGGCGAGTCCCACCTTTCCTCTCCGCTGAGGAGTCACCGTCCCAGGCCGCCCCTGGCACCCTGGGCACGCGCAGCCCCCCACCAGCCTGCACCGGGGTGCCACCCTTCCTCGCCGCGGCTCCCTTTTGGTGGAGACTCTAAGCAGTCGGTTCTCGACTCCCTACTCCTTGCTGGCTTCAGTCTTGTTTTTGCTTTTTCCTTCTCCAGAATTCCTTTCATGGGTAAAACGAGGGCACCCGCAGGTGATCATTTTAAAGTGAAAGTTTCACGCTGCAGCTCTGCAGCAGCACATTCAAGGGCTTGGCTAAGGCCCTGCCCCCAAGGGAAAGAACTAGCCCCCTCGACCGGGGCTGAAATGACGCGGCAAACAATTCTTTCTCTTTCAAAGGCACGGGAAAGACCGGGCCACGGCAGCCTGGTGAGCGGCCTCCTTTCTCTCCGACGAAGAAGAGGCCAGAGCGTGGCCTCGCTGTGGCGTCGACGAAGGCTGAGGGTGCCTCTAACACACTTTCGCGGGGGGGATGGGCTGGAGCGGCAATTGTTCAAATCGGTGACAGCACGGTTATTAATCAGCTCTCCAGCCATTTTCGCCAGAGCCACTAACCAAGAGATTGCTGGCTGGGCCGGGGCCCCTCAGAATTTCTAGCTGCCTGCCGCGAGCTGGGTGGGGTGGATAAGAAGCGTATTTTTTTGGTCACTGAAGATGGCCACTTCCACACGCCTGAGAGCCCACGGGCTGCCGGTCACCAGGCCCTAAATTAGCCGGGGCGGCGGGAAAGACCCTCGCCCAAAAGCCTTAGCACAAAACCTCGGCGGTTCCCGCCGCCACCACCGGGGGGCGCAACCCGGCGGAGAAGCAGCGCAGCCAACGGTCGGGAGGGAGGTGCCATTTCACAGCACAGGGGACCCGTGCCATAAAGCCCTGGTCGCTCTGCCTCTCCCACCGCGAAGACTCAGGATATTCACGTTTCCACGTACTCCACCGCCTATATACACATAACTTCCTAAGATGGCTAACTACGCGAGTGCCTCCGCTCCCTCGCCTCCCCCCGCCTCGCACAGTGGTTCAGCCCGGGCTCCGCTCGGCGCACCCCGCCTTCCCCGGCCGCCCCCCGCGCGTGTGGTGCATTGGCGCGCGGCGCCGAGGGGCGGGGCCCGGGGCGGGCGCGCGCGGGCGCCGCGCTATAAATACTGGGCCGCGCCGGCCGTCCCCTCGTTTGCTCCGCGCCGGCTGACAGCCCTCGGTGGAACGCAGTTGCTGCCTCGCTGCCGCTCGCTTGCCTCAACGCCGCCGCCTTCATCCTCCGCCACTGTCGCCAACATGAACGGGCAGCTCAACGGCTTCCACGAGGCGTTCATTGAGGAGGGCACGTTCCTGTTCACCTCCGAGTCTGTGGGGGAAGGCCACCCAGGTGAGGGGCCTGGGCCCGGAGCCGAGGGCGGGAGGGGCGGGGCTGGGGCCGCACGGAGGCCCGCCGGCCGGACCCGCTGGTCAGCGGCGCCCGCGCGGCTGGCCCCTGGCCGCCGGGCGGTGGGGGGAGAACGGCGGCTGCGCGTTTTTCCTCGTGGCGCTGCCGGTGCCGAGCGCGTGGCCGCCCCTCCCCTCCCCCCGCCCATCCGGCCGCGCGCTCCGGCATGCGGAAGATTCCAGAAAACGTGCAGGGCGGGGGCCGCGGCCGCTCGTGGGCTGGCTCCGGGCGGGCATTCTTGTCTCCTCTCGGCGCTGCGGCCCGAAAGCCCTCGAGTGGGCGACCCGCCCCGCAGGCTCGCGGCCGGCCTCGGGAGCGCGCGCCCCGCATTGCAGCGGCGACCACGTGTCCGCCGCCGCGTGTGGCGGCGCCCGGGCCTGGGGCTGGGGGCGCGGGCTCGGGGTCTCCCCACGCCCGCGAGACGATGGCCGTGCCCTTAGGCGGCAGCGGCCTTGGCGTCAAGGTGACAGCCTCCGACTAAATATAGCGCGCGGTGGAGGCGGCAGCCCTTATTTGGGCGCGGTGGGGAGGCTGGGGCGGCTGAATGAAGCGGGAGCTGCCATTGCGTGGGGTTTCCTTTTAAAGGCTTTGGGGCCGACCGCCGGGCGAGGTCCTCCTCCACGTTCCTTTCTCGGGGCTTTGTCCACGGCGCCGCCATGATAGGGGCCACTTTGCACGTGAGCGAGGGAAGCGCCCCTAGGAACTGTCGCTCTTGGGCAGAGCACGTCACCTAATACAGATAATGACTGTGCTGCCCTTAAAGTGACCACGATAACGTGGTGTCTAGTCTGATGGCGTAAGGATCTGTTTCTCTGCAGGCGCCAGTGCTGCGCTGAGCGCCCACAGGCGAGCGAGTGGCAGCAAAGGACAGACGCGAGCCGGGGATCCGTGATGGAGGCCGGCTGTTCCGGCTGCGGCTTTCTTGTTTCTGTTGACCCAGCTTTTGCAAGTTACAGGCTTTTAAAAACAGTTTGTTCATAAGTCTGGATTTTGGTCGCCATTCCCACTAACAGCTGAAGACAAGGATTCAGAATACATTTGGGCATGTTTTTTTCTGGAGAGCTCTAACAGAACCAAATAAGTGCTTACTCCCATTGTTCATAAAGTTAATATTTCCTGTCAGTTGTTTAGTTCTAATTCTGTTGCCCAAATTGGTGATCCTTAAATTAGGGCAACAGCTTGACAGGTGGTCTTAGTTATCCTAGACCCCAGGTGTGCGGGGGTTAAGAGGTGCTCTTGAATGTTGTAAAGGGAACTGTTTCTTTAAAGATACCACTGTTTTCTACTTTAACCTGATTAATTGGTTACAGGTCAACGGTGAAAATTGCTTTGTTTATGAGCTTAATTTTTCAAAACATTTGAAATATTTTTGAGATGGGACTGGAGTCGGTCGGATATAAAATGTATGTATCATAATGGAGTAAGATGTGTTAAATATGCAGTGTTTTGCTGGATTATCTGAATTGGTGAGCTTGCACAACTATCTTTAAGACTGTGGTGTCAAGTTTTCAAGTAATAGGCAGCACTACCTCCAACACTTAGTCAAGCAAATGGTTCTGCTAAAGCAGTGCTGAAGAGCTCGGAAGGGGCATGACCTACTTAACAGAAACTTAAAGTGAGTCGGGAATTTGTTTTTTTCCAGATAAAATCTGTGACCAGATCAGTGATGCCGTCCTTGATGCCCACCTCCAGCAGGACCCTGATGCCAAAGTGGCATGCGGTAGGTTTGGAATATGTGCTTGCATGTCAGCTGGAGAAAAGTAACCTCAGGAAAAAAATGTTTTGAGTGTGAGCCTTTCTCTTCTTAGAAACCGTTGCTAAAACTGGCATGATCCTTCTTGCTGGAGAGATCACATCCAGAGCTGCTGTGGACTACCAGAAAGTGGTTCGTGAGGCCATTAAACACATTGGATATGATGATTCTTCCAAAGGTACATTTTAATGATTTGGTCTTTCTGAGCTCGTTGATACTGCTAGTGAAAGTTGAAGACTATTTAATAGAGTGTTTGATAAACCCTGAGTTTTACTATTTTGTTCCAGCTATATTCCATTCTCTAAAAAGTGTGATGTTGTAGGTGTACAGTGCCCCCCTTAGCCTTCATCCATTGCAAGTGTTCACCCTCCACTTGTGAGTGCCTGGAAACTCAATACAGGACTTTTTTTTTTTTTTTTTAAAGATTTATTTGAAAGAATTACAGAGTGAGAGGTCTTCCATCCTTTAGTTCACTCCCCAAATGACTGCAATGGCCAGAGCTGAGCTGATCTGATTAGGAGCTCCTTCCGGGTCTCCCACGTGGGTGCAGGGCCATAGCAGAGAGCCGGATTGGAAGTGGAGCAGCTGGGACTCAAACCAGCGCCCATATGGGATGCTGGCACTGCAGGCCAGAGCTTTAACACACAGTGCTGGCCTCCAGATTTTCAGGATTACTGCTCTTGTGCTTTGGATATCTAAAAGCTGTTTTGAGATAGGGTGTTTGGTACAATAATTAAGATGCTTCTTGCATACATCGTGAGTGCTTGGCTCTATCTCCAGCTCTGCTGCAATCCAGCTTCCTGCTGATTGCACCCTGAAAGCTGTGGTGATAGCTCAAGTTCTGGTCTCAGCTTCAGCTTGATCTAACCTTCCCTGTTGCAGGAATTTGGGGAGTCAATGAACAATGGGAAATCTCTTATTTTTCAGATGTTTAAAAATTGGATTATGAGTGATAGGAAGTAGCATAGGGCATGGATACAATGGAAGAAGGGCTAATTAACATCCTTGTGCAGCCCAAGATTTTGCAGTATTTAGAATTCTAAATAGAAGGTAGTGCTATGACTTTTTTCCTAAACAAGCTTTTTATTTATAGGATTTGACTATAAGACTTGTAATGTGCTGGTAGCCTTGGAACAACAGTCACCAGATATTGCTCAAGGTGTTCACCTTGACCGGAATGAGGAGGACATTGGTGCAGGAGACCAGGTAACTTGGTAGAGGTTGTTTACATCTCTACTAATGTTAAATCCTGCAGCCTTGATCACATTAGTGATTTTCTCTTTTCAGGGTTTAATGTTTGGATATGCCACTGATGAAACGGAGGAGTGTATGCCTTTAACCATTGTCTTAGCACATAAGCTCAATGCCAAACTGGCTGAACTGCGCCGCAATGGCACTTTGCCTTGGTTACGCCCAGATTCTAAAACTCAAGTAAGTGATCATAAAGCTAAACTGTCTCTCATATATGCAATCCGTAGTTGTTGAATTATAGCTAATTGGAAAATAGCATTTGTCTTAAGTCTCACTTAAGTAGAGAACCAAGAACAAAGCTATTGTGTAGTGCACTGGGGTTCTGATGACCTGTGTTGCCTTTAAGGTGACCGTGCAGTATATGCAGGATCGAGGTGCTGTGCTTCCCATCAGAGTCCACACGATAGTTATATCTGTTCAGCATGATGAAGAAGTTTGTCTTGATGAGATGAGGGATGCCCTAAAGGAGAAGGTCATCAAAGCTGTTGTACCTGCAAAATATCTTGATGAGGACACTATCTACCACCTGCAGCCAAGTGGCAGATTTGTTATTGGCGGGCCTCAGGTAATGTCTTGGGTTAATTAACAAACGCTGGCTGCCTCCACCTTTTGTCTAGGCTCTCTGAGGCCTACGTGTGCATCTTCTGAGGATACTTGCTTGGGTTATAGAGGTAAGAAGTGGGCATAAAGTGACTTTAAATCCTGTCATTTCAGGGTGATGCAGGATTGACTGGCCGGAAAATCATTGTGGACACTTATGGTGGTTGGGGAGCTCATGGAGGTGGTGCCTTTTCAGGAAAGGATTATACCAAGGTGGACCGCTCAGCTGCTTATGCTGCTCGTTGGGTGGCAAAATCCCTTGTTAAAGGAGGTCTGTGCAGGAGGGTTCTTGTTCAGGTATATATACTCTTACATTATACATAATTGGAGTGATTCAAACTCATAGGTGGGGAGGGTCTTATAATATTTAACCAGCTTGTCTCTTGTTATGCCAGAATACAAGTGTGTGGTCTTCTAATCACTGACTCTTATAACATTTGAATCCCTTTAGGTCTCTTATGCTATTGGAGTTTCTCATCCATTGTCTATCTCCATTTTCCATTATGGTACCTCTCAGAAGAGTGAGAGAGAGCTATTAGAGATTGTGAAGAAGAATTTTGATCTGCGCCCTGGGGTCATTGTCAGGTAAAGATGGTAAAGCCTATTGCTAGTGAAAAACATTGAGGCTGTGTCAGTATGCACACACACACATGCATATACTAAATCTAAGTAAGGTTGTAAAAGTATGAAAAGGTGCTCCACTGAGGAAACACAATCCTAGAACATGTTGATGTTTTAAACTGTCTTCAGGAGATGGCTGAGTTGAGGAATCTAAAATTAGTGTTCAGTGGTTTAGACTAACCACCTCAGAAAATCTTCCACATTTGATATTAGACTTTACTCATCTAAGGGTGTTCACATTAAGAACTTGATAAATGGGATGTTTAGGGCTGTTAAAAAGAAAAACATAGTGGACAGTGAGATCTTGGTAAGTATTCCATGATTACATCTCAGAATAATGACAAAAGTTTTCATATCTCTTGAGCCAGGGATGGAAAAATAAGAACTGTAGTTACTAATAAGGACTGTGCAAGGAGTTTGGACACGAGGGAAGTAACACTTCTGCCGCAAACTTTTTTCCTAGCATACCCCAGAGAACTGAACTCATTTGCCAGAGCTCTTGAAAATGAGTCTTGCTGATTGTTTTGCTTTACTTTAATTCAATGCTACATATTAAGTTACGGACTTGTATATTCCAGGGATCTGGATCTGAAGAAGCCAATTTATCAGAGGACTGCAGCCTATGGCCACTTTGGTAGGGACAGCTTCCCATGGGAAGTGCCCAAAAAGCTTAAATACTGAAAGTGTTAGCCTTTTTTCCCCAGACTTGTTGGCGTAGGCTACAGAGAAGCCTTCAAGCTCTGAGGGAAAGGGCCCTTCTTCCTAAATTATCCTGTCCTCTTTCAGCTCCTGATCAGTTGCAGTCACTCTATAGTCAATGACATGAATTCTAGCCTTTGTTGGGACTGTAAGTTGGGCTTGCTATTCTGTCCCTAGGTGTTTTGTTCACCATTATAATGAATTTAGTGAGCATAGGTGATCCATGTAACTGCCTAGAAACAACACTGTAGTAAATAATGCTTTGAAATTGAACCTTTGTGCCCTATCACCCAACCCTCCAAAGTCCTAATTGCATTGACTTCCCCAGCAGATGCTGAAAATGTCCTTGTAATGTGCACGTAAAGTATTTGTAGTTCCACTCTAGCCTCTGTCTGGCAATGCCACAACCCTGTCAGCATGAATTTGTAATGTCTTGAGCTCTATTATGAATGTGAAGCCCTCCCTTATCCTCCCTGTAACTCAATCCGTCTCTAATTATGTAGCTCTTTGTCAGGGAGTGTTCCCCTATCCAATCAATCTTGCATGTAACGCAAGTTCCAGTTGGAGCTCTAGCCTGACATAAGAAAAAGGCAGTTACCATTAAACCATCTCCCTGGTGCTCATGCTCTAACGGCCACCTCTAACAGCACCAAATCAAATCTCTCCACTGTCAGCTATCTTTTGGAGGACGTACGTAATAAGGTTTTTATTTAGTACACCAATCCTATGCATGGTTTCAGCACTAGCCAAACCTCACCAACTCCTAGCTCTAGCAAACAGGCACTTGGCACCCTTGTGACGTCATACAGAGAAGTCACAGGGCAGTCCCCGAGGGTCTGTAGGTTGCACACTTTGGTACCAGATAACTTTTTTTTTCTTTATAAGAAAGACCGAGTACTCCACACTGCACAATAACTCCTCCCAGGGTTTTAACTTTGTTTTATTTTCAAAACCAGGTCCAATGAGCTTTCTGAACAGCTGGTGTGGCTACAGAGAAACCAGCTTCCTTCAGAGAGCAGTGCTTTTGGCGGGGAGGAGGCAATCCCTTCATACTTGAACATTTTCTAATTGCTTATTTATTGTATTCTGGGGGATGGCGTAAGTACAGAGAAGCCATCTCCTCAGATGGCAGCTTTTAAAAGATTTTTCTTTCTCTCTCAACACCATGATTCCTTTAACAACATGTTTCCAGCATTCCCAGGTAGGCCAAGGTGTCCTACAGAAAAACCTTGGGTTAGACCTACAGGGGGTCTGGCTGGTGTTACCGGAAGGGAGGGCAGAGCTGGTGCGGCTGGCCATGGAGAAAGCGGACTTGGCTGGTGTGGTACAGAGAAGCCAGCTTGTTTACATGCTTCATCCATGACTGCTTGCCCTAAGCAGAAAGTGCCTTTCAGGATCTATTTTTGGAGGTTTATTACGTATGTCTGGTTCTCAATTCCAACAGTTTAATGAAGATCTAAATAAAATGCTAGGTTCTACCTTAACTGTGTCCACCGTTTTTTTTTTCTAAAAAGTATTGTGGTATAAACACTGCTCATGTCACCTTTACCTGGAACAACTGTAATCCTACCCATATTTCAGAAAAATCACCTCAATCCTTGGACATGCTGTACAAGCAATTATTAGGTTTACAGTCCTGTCCCAGGCACTAGTTTTGTTTGGAAGCTCCCTGAGGGATCCAGGTGTTGAAGAGGATTAATAGTAAAGCAGCCCGGCTGAAGGCGCAGGGCCTGATCTTCAATGTAACCCTTTTTTTACTGAAAAGTCCAGTTTTCTATTGACCTCATGCCACCCCAACATTTTTCTTGAGAAAGGCAGCATACTTACATGTACAGTTACATGTAATTGTTCCAAGGTGAAGACCCATTTTTCCCTATCAGTCTGCAAGGGGTTAGAACAAGGAAATAGTGAAAACCAGTGCTCCATGTTTATGACTGTACTACACTGAATGCTCCCAGTGTCTGAAGACCAGTATTGCAAAGTGATCATGAAGACATTTAAAGATGGTAGCCTGATCCTGATCTGTCGCTGAAAGAACACAGGTTAATGAAAGTGAAAACGTTCACAGGGTAGGTACACTGCAGGTGGTGTTGAAAGGATTTGGCAATTGGGTGTAGGGAGAATGGGAAGATAAATGTCTGAGTTGGGGATAGTGGTAGGGGTAGACTGAGTCTACCTTGGGACCACTGTCCAAAGAGGAGGGAAAAGAGTGGAAGAAGTTAATGACAATACCTATTTATTGCCAGGCTGTGCTGGGGGAGGGACCCTTGTACTGAGGAAGTTCCCAAGACACCCCTGCAAATCCAGATCTAAAAGGTCTGTTCCCCAGTCCCTTAGCATGTTAATCCTCACTTTATAGCACCTGCTCACTAAAAGCTAGAATAATGCCAAATACTACTAGCATCTAACATTTCCTAACAGTGCTGTTCATTACTGCTAGTAAAAAGCTTACTGATAATACAGATAATTTGGTCAGATATACTAGTAGGGAATTTCACATTATTTTACCTCTTTCTCAGTTCCTACAATTAAAATAGGGCTAATGACTAATGAAGAGTTAAAGGTAAAACATTTGGCTATATTCATCATGATACACTAAATCTTTTCCCCCCAAAGAGCCGGTCACTTTAAACCTCTTACCTCTTTATCCTAAGAAGCCATTTTCATTTGTAATCTTTTGGCCCTTCAATCTTAAGATTTATTTGAAAGGTAGAATGACAGAGGGAGAGGTAGAGATCTTCCATCCACTGGTTCACTCCAAATGGCTGCAATGGGAACGCCATCTGAGTCACTGCAGAAACCCAGGTACTTGAGGCATCTTTCCTTGCCTTCTACCTACTTGTAGGTAGCTGGATCAGAAGTACCATAGCCAGGAGCTCCAATTTGGTGCTGGTGTCACAGGTGGCAACTTAACCCCTTGTGCCCCAGTGCCAGTACTGGCCCCTCAATTTTGGATTAAGAAATCGTTCTTTTTTCCTCGACTCCTATAGGCTGCCATTTCTTAATTTAAAAGAACAAATGAGAAGTTCTCAACTGTCTATTGCATAGGTAGTAGATGTGTAACTACCTGCCCCACACCTGGCCTCCCTAGAACTCTGAGTGGACAGGATCAGTATCTGGCTCAGGAGGATCAGAATTTGAAGGATCTGTGTTTGTTGAGTCTCCAACCGGCTCAAAGGGTCGCAGGTTTGCATAAGTCACCTCTTGGGCAAGTTGCTCCAGTGAGGGGCGGCCTATAGCCAGATTTCGAAGTGAAATACAAGTCATGAGGAAGCTGAAAAACAGGAAAAAGGTCACTAGTTTAAACTCCGATTTAACTAATTCCAGCCAAAGCCCTTAGCAGGGTGTTTGCTCCTCCCACCCAGGCACGTAGGGGATCTCCCTGGTGACCAGCCACTTCCCAGCTGGAGCAGTACACCTGTTACATATTGCTAGGAGATCCCAGGGTAGGGTGGGGCTGGGGAAGGGCTGAGGCAGAACAAAACAGCAGGCCACCAGGCCACTTAATATACCAGTAATTGGGGAAAACAGAAGGGAAAGATTACTAGAGCCAGACTGTTCTGGAAAAGGGTCTCCCAGTGCTACCATCATTGGAGAAAAGCTACATGGCTACAAACATCTCATGGCAGTGACAAGGTGCCACTGAAACCTACCTGCGGCGAAAGATGTAGAGCTTCCGCAGGAAGAAGCGGAGGAGTCGCTCGTGGAAAGGGGCATTTCGCCGGCGTTCAAGCTCCTGGAGCCTTTGCTGGCGTCTAAGAAAGGTCTGAACCAGAGGTGTTGGCTCTGGGCCCCCCTTTACTTCCCCTTCCAACAGAGGCTGCAGCTCCGGAGGCAGAGGCCCTGGTTCTGTCCAGAAGACAACAAAAAGAGGAATCACTGAGATGGAATCAGTCTGGCCCTTGGAACTCCCCTTCTACCAGCTAGATGCTTCAAGTTCATTGTCTAATGTCTAGGTCTTCATTAACTCTGACCTCTTGAAACCAGAGGCTGTGTCAGCCCAGATCTTCATACTATACTCACCACTTCCATTCTCTACCTTCTCCTTTAACTCTTGCAGATGTGCCAGGTCTTGCTCCAGTGTGAGCTCCGTAGTGTTGACATAGACGTACATGTAGCAGGAAGGACCAGACGACACGGTGTACACCTTATGGTACTCACCAGCAGGCAACTGACAGGGAAGAAATGGATGTATTTCACTGACCTTTAAATCCTGAACGAGGGCCAGGCATTTGGCACAGTGGTTAAGACAGTGCTTGTAACACTCGCATCGCATACTGGAGTGCCTGGGTTCTAGTCCCAGCTCCGCTCTTGATTCTAGCTTCTTGCTAACACACATCCCGAGAGGCAGCAGGCGATGGGTCCCTGCCCTCCAGATGGGAGACCCAGAGTGAGTTCCAAAGCCTGGCCCTGTCCTTGCTGTTGTGGGCATTTGGGGAACCAGAAGGGAGATCTGATTCCCTACCGTTCAAAGCACATTTTTAAAAAAAGGAATCCTGGATAAGTCTATTCATAGGCCTTGTAGCTCCCACCCCCCACTGCATTACCACCACAGGAAAGCATCTGACATCTACAGCAAACGAACTCTTTTCAGCACAGCTTTCTGCCATTAATCCCAACCAGATACCTGCATTTTTTCTCCCTCCCGAAGAGTCCGATTCTTCTGTTCTGCCACCAGCTCCACAGTCACCTCCCCCTGCAGCAGCTGGATGCTGGTGTTGCCCAGGTCTTCACTCACAAAATTCTCCAGGTGCAGTCCTGCCGGGGCCACAGAATTACCATCAGCCGCAGCAGTGAACTCACTCCCAGTCAGAACAGGGCTGCCACACTGTCACCATCAGCACCCCCCGCTTTCACAGCCCTTCCCACCAGAAACGCTCCTCCCTCTCTACCACATGCACCGTCTCTGGCCAAGAGAGCCGGAAGGGACGGAAGACAGCTAAGCTGCTTCTGCCTCTCCTCCATACCAGGGAAATCCGCAATGAAGACCACCTCGGTGTGGTTGTCCAGGCTACTCTTGATTTCCTGTAATTTGGTCCTCCAGGGGGACAGGTCCATCAAGAGCGGCTGCAGCCAGGGTGTGCGCTGGAAGGGGGACCAGACAGCCTGCACGATGTCCACACGAGGATCAAAAAGCCTTGGGAAAGAAAACCAAGTGCTAAGGAGGCCACAGCCACCTACCCGGCAGAACTGCGGGTCCCAGGCAGAGGGAATAGAGTTTCCAAATAGAAGAAACAGCTTTATGTCAGCTTGTCATTGCCAGTCCATGGCAGAGAGAGGAAAGAGAGTCTGCAGCATTGGGAAAAATGGGCGTTAGTGGCCAGAGAAGGCACTGTGTTTACAGCATCGAAAAGTCCTCTCCCTTTTCTCCTGGATGATGATGCCCCCTGCTGGAAGCAACCAGTTATACCCACAACTAGATCAACCAGAACATGCACTAAAGAGATAACCTTTTAAAACCAAACCCAGGAAACACAAGAGCTATACTCCATTTTTCCCCATTCTCTGCTCCCATGGCCCACCTCTGCTGGAAGCGGTCATTGATGGAGACCCAAATATCAAAGTAGATCTGGGGCTCAGTGACATTGTACTTGGGAAGCAGGCGGCTCAGGCAAGTGGCATACTGCTTCAGCATGTCTGCGTGATCCTTCCATCGCCGGCTCTGTGTGAACACCTGCCCCAAACCCCTACGTTAGTCCAACCTCATCACTTCCAGTCACACAGGTCACACACTGCCAACAGCACAGATTCCTTCCTGCTGCCCATTTTGGACAGAAAAACAAAAAACACTCGTCTTTAGGGATGAATTTTTCATTGCTGGGCTAGTGGAATCTAACTTTTCCTAAACCTAATCACAATTCAAGCAAACGACAGTCACTGCCCTATTTGAATAGAAAGTTTAGGGGCCGGTGCTGTGGCGTAGCAGATGAAACTGCTGCCTGCAGTGCCGCCATCCCATATGGGCACTGGTTCGAGTTCCGGCTGCTCCACTTCTGATCCAGCTCCCTGCTATGGCCTGAGAAAGCAGTGGAAGATGGCCCAAGTGCTTGGGACCCTGCACCCACGTGGGACCCAGAGGAAGCTCCTGGCTTCGGATCGGTGCAGCTCTGGCCGTTGTGGCCATTTGGGGAGTGAACCAGTAGATGGAAGACCTTTCTCTTTCTCTGCCTCTGTAACTCTTTCAAATAAATAAATCTTTAAAAAAAAAAAAAAAAAAAGAGGTTAAGGGCCAGCATTGTGGCTCACCCTGGGATGCTGGCATCTCATACGGCTGCTAGTTCGAGTTCTGCCTACACTACTTCTGATGCAGCTCTCTGCTAATGCACGGGGGAAAGCAGTGGAGGCTGGCCCAAGCCCTCAGGCTCCTGCACCCATGTGGGAGACTTGCCTGAATGAAGCTCCTGGGCTCCTTGCTTCAGCCTTGCCAAGCCCTGGCCATTGCAGCCATTTGAGGAATGACCCTTCAAGTCAATAAATCTTAAAAACAAAAAGGTTATTTTTTTTTTTTTCAGGCAGAGTGGGCAGTGAGACAGACAGAGAGAAAGGTCATCCTTTTTCCGTTGGTTCACCCCACAATGGCCGCTGTGGCCAGCGCCCTGCGGCTAGCAACTGCACTGATCCGAAGCCAGGAGCCAGGTGCTTCTCCTGGTCTCCCATGCGGGTGCAGGGCCCAAGCACTTGGGCCATCCTCCACTGCACTCCCGAGCCACAGCAGAGAGCTGGACTGGAAGAGGAGCAACCGGGACAGAATCCAGCGCCCTGACCGGGACTAGAACCCGGTGTGCCAGCGCCGCAAGGCGGAGGATTAGCCTAGTGAGCCGCGGTGCCGGCCCAGTCTAGCTCTTAAGAGAGGGCAGAGCAGATTCAAATTTGTTTCACTTTAAGGTGTGTGTAGACCAAACGAGACCCTGAGGCTCAAGGGGGTTAGGAGAACAGTCACCCGTCAGCACCAGACGTCTCACCCCAGGGTTAAGGTAGCCCAGCTCGCCCGTGCGCCCATCATGGTAGGTGATCTTCACGTGCTGGTGGGAGCGGGAGTGCACCATCATGTCCCAGGAGTAGCCGTACAGCCCATTTGTCCAGTTGTTATAGCCCTAGGCCGCAGTGCAGAGAATCAGCTCAATGCTTCCCATACGACCCCTACCTCCACCAAGAAAGGGGTGCAAAACCCCCATTCCTTCCCAACTGTTGTCACCATTGCCACTTTCCATGCCCAGGCGCTGCTACACACCCACAACGCTTACAAACCTGGGTGAGGAAGTGGGAATAGGGCAGGAACAGCTGCTCCAGGAGGTAAAGCAAGGTGAAGAGGGCTCCCAGCTGATGGCGCAGGCCTGGCTTCTGGCCACCTTTGGCCCGGCTCCTCTTGTACACGCAAGAAGCACTGGGCTGAGGGGCAGCCTTGAGGGGCAGCAGATCTTGCAGCCTTTTGGGGCAGTGAGATACCAGCTTCCGGGGCCACTCAGGGGAGCAGAAGAGAGGGCTGCTGGCCAGCATGACATAGGGGAACATACCTAGGAAGGCAGGGAGAAAACACACATCTCCGTATTAAGCTGAACCCCTCAGCCCCCTTCCCTCAAGCCTCTCTCATGTTCTACTTAAAATGAAAGGAGTTCTGAACCACAGGACACACAGTCTCCCTCATCTAAAATGCCTTCTAAACCAGAAGTATGTCAGACTGTCAAGTTTTTCAGAATTTAGACTATCTGCGTACACTTCACTGGTTAGCATCCTTAACTCAAAAATCCAAAATTTGGGGCTGGCGTTGTGGTGCAGTGACCTAGGCTGCAGTGTACAATGCCAGCATCCCATATCTGAGTGCTAGCTCGTACCCAGCTGCTTTGCTTCTGATCCAGTGCCAGGCTAATGTGCCTGGGAAAGCAGCAGAGGACAGCCCATGTACCTGGGCCCTTGCCACCCATGTGGGAGGTCCAGATAGAATTCCAGGCTCCTAGCTTTGGCCTAGACAAGCCCCAGCTTTGGCAACCATTTGGAGAGTGAATCAGTGAACAGAAGATCTCCTTCTCTTTCAAATAAATGAATAAAGTCCAGTGTTGTGACACAGCAGGTTAAGCTGCCATCTGCAGCACCAGTATCCCATATAAGTGCCAGTTTGAGTCCCAGCTGATCCACCTCCAGTCCAGCTCCTGGCTAATGTGCCTGGAAAGTAGCCGAAGATGGCCCAAGTACTGGGTCTCTGTCACCCAAATGAGCCCTGGATGGAGTTCTAGGTCCCTAACTTCGGTCGGACCCAGCCCAGTGTGTTGTGGCCATTTGGGGAGTGAACCTATAGACGGAAGTCTTTCTGTCCCTCCCTCCCTCCCTCCAACACTGCCTTTCAAATAAATCAATCTATCTTTAAAAAATATAAAATTTGAAATTCTCAGTTTCGGAAAGGTTCAAATTTTCATATTAGGGTTGCTCAACCTGTACTTGTTTCTCTCAAAGATTCCTTACTCTACTGTATGCTGAGACCAGAGGTTGGCACTGTGGCACAGAAGGCTAAGCCTCCACCTGCAGTGGTTTGAGTCCCAGCTGCTCCACTTCCAATCCAGCTCCTTGCTGAAATGCCTGGGAAGGCAGCAGAAGATGGCCCAAGTACTTGGGCTCCTGCACCTCCATGGGAGACCTGGAGGAAGCTCCTGGCTCCTGGCTTTGGACTGGCGCAGCCCTGGCCACTGTGGCCACTTGGGGAGTGAACCAGCAGATAGAAGACCTCTGTCTCTCCTTCTATCTCTACCTTTCAAATCAATCATTCAATCAATCAATCTTTTAAAAACCTCCATTTATTCCTGCTTCAGTGACCACACTGGACTCAGTCTAGCTCCTGCTCCCAACAGCATCTCCCCACTCCCAAACAATACCCCTGGCTAGTCCCTCCCTAGAGACTCGTGGTTCCTGTTTCCTGCCAGGCTACAGATACTGACCAATGCTGAAGAGCTGGGAATTCATGCAGTGGAAGTAGGACACGAAGACGAGGCCAGTGGACCTTGAGACATCGAAGAAGAGCAGGAAACCAGCCAAGAGGTCAAGCAGCAGCCCACCCCAGTGCACCACCAGCAGGCTGGTCAGCTCCTCAGACAGCAACAATCTGCAGACATGAGCACTGGGGTCAGGCCCAGGCCACTGGGGAAGCCAGCAGCCACGGCACATTTGCATGTGACACAAATGGGCCTCTGCTACCCTCTTGATGCCAAAGGACGTACCCCAGTGGGTGGCAAAACCAAGGTACCTAACCCACCCACACAGACTACGGTAGTTCTCCTGTACAGCTTCACACGCTTTAGGTATACATTTTTTAAAAAATATTTATTCATTTTTTGAAAGAGTTACACAGAGATAAGGAGAGGCAGAGAGAGGGGTCTTCCATCCGATGATTCACTCCCCAAACGGCTACAACGGCCGCAGCTGCGCTGATCCAAAGCCAGGAGCTTCTGGATCTCCCATGTGGGTGCAGGGGCCCAAGGACCTGGGCCTTCTTCCACTGCTTTCCCAGGCCACAGCATAGAGCTGGATCAGAAGCGGAGCAGGGCTGGCACTGTGGTGCACTAGGTTAATCCTCTGCCTGCGGTGCCAGCATCCTATATGGGCACCGGTTCTAGTCCTGGTTGCTCCTCTTCCAGTCAAGCCCTCTGCTATGGCCTGGGAAAGCAGTGGAGGATGGCCCAAGTGCTTGGGCCTCTGCATCCACATGGGAGACCAGGAAGAAGCACCTGGCTCCTGGCTTCGGATCAGCGCAGCTCCAGCCGTGGCGGCCATTTGGGAAGTGAACCGACAGAAGGAAGACCTTTCTCTCTGTCTCTCTCTCTCACTGTCTGTAACTCTGCCTGTCAAATAAATAAATAAAGTCTTTAAAAAGAAAAAAAAAAAAAGTGGAGCAGCCGGGTTTCGAACTGGTGCCCATATGGGATGCTGGTGCTTTAGGCCAGGGCTTTAACCTGCTGCACCACAGCGCCAGTCCCAAGGCATCCATTTTTCAACATACCCTCTGTACTGAACAAGGCCAGGTCTCCAGGATGAAATATGAGGAGTGGTGAGGGCAGGCTCCTCAGAAAGGGAACAAGTAGGACAAAACTTTAAAGGTAGAAAGTTGGGGCAGGTGTTTAGTATAGTGGTTAAGATGCCACTTGGGATACCCATACCCTATGTAAGAATGCCCGAGTTCAAATTCCGGCTCTGTTCCTGGTTCCAACTTCCTGCTAATGTGCACTGTGGGAGGCAGCAGATGATGGCTCAAGTAGTTGGTTCCCTGCTACCCATGTGGAAAACTTGAATTCCTAGTTCTTGACTTTGGCCTGGCCCAGCACTGGCCACTGGAGATTTGAGGAGTGAACCAAGGGACGGGAGCTCCCTCACTGTCTCTGGTTTTCACTTTAAAAAAAATTTTTAAAGGTGAATTCTTGGCGCCAGCATTGTGGTACAATAAGTTTATCCTCCATCTGTGGAGCTAGCATCCCACATGGGCACTGGTTCTAGTCCTGGCTACTCCACTTCTGATCCAGCTCTCTGCTATGGCCTGGAAAAGCAGTGGAAGAAGCCCAAGTTCTTGGATCTCTGCACCCATGTGGGAGACCTGGAAGAAGCTCCTGGCTTTGGATAGACTCAGGTCCAGCTGTTGCAGCCATCTGGGGAGTGAACCAGTGGATGGAAGACCTCTCCCTCTCTCTCTGCCTCTCTATAACTGCCTTTCAAATAAATAAATAACTCTTTAAAAAAATAGATAGAAATCAAAATGAAATACTGGAAATGAAGAATTCAACAGAACAAATAAAGAATGCAGTGGAAAGCCTTAACAACAGACTTGGTGAAGCAAAAGAAAGAATATCCCAATTAGAAGACAAATCTCTGGCCGGCACCATGGCTCACTAGGTTAATCCTCCGCCTGCGGCGCCGGCACCCCAGGTTCTAGTCCCAGTCAGGGCGCCAGATTCTGTCCCGGTTGCACCTCTTCCAGTCCAGCTCTCTGCTGTGGCCCGGGAGTGCAGTGGAGGATGGCCCAAGTGCTTGGGCCCTGCACCCACAGGGGAGACCAGGAGAAGCACCTGGCTCCTGGCTTCTGATCAGCGCGGTGCGCCAGCCACAGTGGCCATTGTGGGGGTAAACCAACGGGAAAAGGAAGACCTTTCTCTCTGTCTCTCTTTCACTGTCCACTCTGCCTGTCAAAAAAAAAAAAAAAGAAAAAAGAAAAAGAAAACAAATCTCTGGAAATTTTACAGTCAGACCCAAAACGAAGAAATCAGAAAATTAAAAAGCACCGTTGGAGATCTATAGGATACTATCAAACGACCCAACATGCAGGTCTTAAGAGTTCCTAAAGACATGGAAACAAAGAATGAATTAGAAGGCCCCTTCAGTGAAATAATTAAAGAAAACTTCCCACATTTGGAGAAAGAAAGGGACAGCTAAGTCCAGGAAGCATACAGAACTCCTAACAGTTCTCCTAACAGACACCACCCAGCAAGATCTTCACCATGACCCATTGTAGTCAAACTCTCCACAGTGAAACATAAAAAGGTTCTAAAATGTGCACGAGAGCAAGGCCAGATTACTTTCAGAGATCTCCAATTAAACGCACAGCATATTTCTCATCAGAAACGCTACAGGTTAAGAGAGAATAGCGAGATATAGTCCAAGTCTTAAGAGAAAAAAACTGTCAACCCAGAATACTGTACCCTGCAAAGCTCTCAATTATGAATGACGGTGAAATAAAGACCTTCCATAACAAACAGAATTGAAAGAATTTCTCACTACTTGTCCAGCTTTACAAAAGATGCTTAAGGATGTGCAACATACAGAAACACAGAAACAGGGCCATCACTACAAAAGAAGGTGAAGGGGCTGGCACTGTGGCATAGTGGGTAAAGGCGCTGCCTGCAATGAACCATATGGGCATGGTTCAAGTCCTGGGTGCTCTACTTCCAATCCAGCTCTCTGCTATGGCCTGGAAAAGCAGCAGACGGTGACCAAAGTCCTTGGGTCCCTGCACCTCCACAAGAGACCCAGAAGAAGCTCCTGGCTCCTGGCCTCAGATCAGTGAAGCTCTGGCCATTGTGGCCAACTGAGGAATGAATCAGCGAGGAAAGACCCCTCTCTCTCTCTACTTCTCCTCCTCTTGTTACCTCTTTCAAATAAATAAATAAATCTTTAAAAAAGAAAGGAAGGAAGGACGGACAGACAGATGGATGGGCGGATGGACAGGAAGAAGGAGAAGGCAGAAAATCTCCCAGTAAAAGTACAAAGGAAATTCAAAGTAAACAATAGGAATATTTACACAAAAATGGCAGGGCAAAGTCGTTACTTATTAATAGTCACCTTGAATGTTAATGGCCTCAACTCTCCATTTAAAAGACACAGACTGGCTGAATGGATTGAAAAACAAAACCCATGTATTTGCTGCCTACAAGAAACACAGCTCACCAACAAAGACACATGCAGACTGAAAGTGAAAGGATGGAAAAAGATCTCCCAGGCCAGCAGAAACCAAAAAAGAGCTGGTGTAGCCATCTTAATATCAGACAAAATAGACTTTAACACAATAACTGTTAAAAGAGACAAAGAAGGGCACTATGCAATGACTAAGGGATCAATTCAACAGGAAGGTATGATTATTATAAACGTATATGCACCTAATTACAGGGTACCTGGCTATTGAAAAGAAAGCTTAAGGGATTTAAAGGGAGACATAGACTCCAATACAAGGATAATGGGGGACTTCAACACCTTACTTTCAGCAATGGACAGATCAATCAGACAGGAAATCAGCGAGGAAACAATATTTAATCGACATTATAGACCAATGGAATTAACAGATATCTATAGAACTTTCCATCCTGTAGTCACGGAACACATATTCTTCTCTCCAGGGCATGGAAGTTTCTTTAGGTTGGACCACATACTGGGCCATAAAGCAAGTCTCAGCAACTTCAAAAAAATCAAAATCGTACCATGCATTTTCTTGGAACACAGCAGAATGAAGCTGGAAATTAACAATTCAGGAATCTCTAGAACATAGGCAAACACATGGAGACTGAACAACATGGTCCTGAATGAACAGTGGGTCATAGAAGAAATCAAAATGTTTCTGGAAACAAATGAAGATGATAATACAATGAATTAAAACTTATGGAATACAGCAAAAGCAGTGTTAAGAGGAAAATTTTTGGCAATTGGTGCCTACACATCAAGAAATTGGAAATGCACCAAATAAATAAACTATCAATGCATCTCAAGGACCTAGAAAAACAATAGCAAACCAAATCCAAAACTAGTAGAGAAAATAACTAACTAAAATTAGGGAAGAAATCAACAAAATTGAAAGAAACAAACAAAAACAATACAAAAGATCAGCAAAACAAAGAACTGGTGTTTTGACAAAAATAAAGAAAATTGACACACCATTGGTCCAACTAACCAAAAAAGGAGAGAAGACCCAAATTAACAAAATTAGAGATGAAAAAGGAAAAGTAACAAACAGACACCACAGAAACAAAAAGAATCATCAGAAATTACTACAAAGAGCTGTATGCCAACTAACTTGGAAACCCAGAAGAAATGGACAGATTTCTGGACATACACAACCTACCTAAATTGAGCCATGAAGACATAGAAAACCTACACAGACCAATAACCAAGATAGGAAGAGAATCAGTAATGAAGCTCTCCCAACAAAGAAAAGCCCAGGACCAGATGGATTCACTGCTAAATTCTATGAGACATTCAAAGAACTAACTCCAATTCTTCTCAAGCTATTCAAAACAACTGAAAGGAAGGGAATCCTCCCAAATTCTATGAAGCCAGAATCACCTTAATTCCTAAATATGAAAAAGATACAACAGATGAAGAGAACTACAGACCAAGTTCCCAAATGAACACAGACACAAAAATCCTCAACAAAATATTAAGTAATTGAATCCAACAACACATCAGAATGATCATTCACTCAGATCAAGAGGAATTTATCCCTGGTATGCAGGGATGGTTCGATATTTCACAAATCAATGTGATACATCACATTAGCAAAATGAAGAATAAAAACCATGATTACCTCAATAGATCAGAGAAAGCATTTGATAAAATAAAGCACCTTTTCAT